TTAGGTTATTGCAATGCACTCTCTGTGGGTCTGCCTTTGAAGATGGAAACTGCAGGTAGTGAAGAATACAGCAGTAAGACTGTTATCTGGAACAGCTTTAAGAGACCAAGTAACACCAGCCCTAAAAGAATTGCACCAGGTCCTGTAACATTACCCCTTGGACTTCAAGGGACCACTGAGTATATTAAGCTCTGTAGCAGCAGAGAGGGGCTCTCCTCAGTCTCCTATGGCTGGGAGAGGCACATAATTTGTGGGTGGGGGGGTGGGAAACGGCAGGTGAGTGCTTCCTCTGTTGTGGGAGTTCAGCTGTACAACACCCTTTCCCTGGAGGCCTGGCTGCTGCCAATATTACCTGCCTTTCAGTACCAGGTGGGTTTTCCTTCTTCTGCCTGGGACTTAGAAACAATGCATTTTGTCTTTAAAGTGCCCCTCTGACAGGGTCATTTATTACTGTGTATTTTAAAAGGTATGATTTAAAATAGTTTATTACTTATTTTACTTGGCTTTATTGTGTTACCTTATCACCTGCTGCAAGACCCTTGGGATAATAGGTGGCCTAAATGTTTTAAATCGATAAATAATCAGGCAGGTGGTCTGTCTGGGCTGAATCAGGACATCTATATACTAGCATATTCCAACCTTTTGATTTTTTGTAAAAGTGTCTTATCTATTTTTAAAATTATTACTACTGTTATTACATTTTTATCCTACCTTTTTATATATATAATTCAAGGTGGCAAATATATCTAATACTCCTGCCTACTATTTTCCCCACAACAACCCTCTGAGGTGGGCTGAGCTGAGGGAGAGTGACTGGCCCAAAGCCACCCAGTCAGCTTTCATGCCTAAGGGAGGCCTGGAACTCACAAGTCTTCTGGTTTCTAGGCTGACACTATCAATATTCATTGTTGTGATGTCTATTATGAATTATAATCATTCGATTTTTTTACAGTATTTTTGATTTGTAAACAGTCAATTTAGGTCAGTTTGACAACTTTGTTCCAACATTCAATTGTAATCACTGGTAATTATCCTTCTCTTAGCAATAATTCTATAGTTTATTGAAGGAGAACTTTCTGTCTTAGACTCTCTATTGTAAGAACTAGAATTGTTTAAGGGAAAGCACACAACATTCAAATACTCCGTTTGTTCCCAATCAATAGAGTTTCATAGCTCTCCTATTCTAATACATGGCTTTATTGTTTATTTTGTTGTGTGCTTTCATGAGGCCAGAAGAATAATGAAGTATGCATTGACTTACATAAACATCTTGGCATTCTTGTAAGAATGTCAAAATGTTACTTAGAGAAGTACATTCTTAACTTCTGTAAGTTAAATGAAGTAAAAGAGATCTACTTATATTTATTTACAATATAGGAGTTCTCTATGAGGAGAGTATACTCCCTATAATTCGAAGAAACATTTTGTTCCTTATTCAAGATTTTCTCACGTTCTCCGATTTTTCTGATTTACCCAAAATAAATAATGCCTGAATGTTTAATGCCTCTTTTGTATTTCCTTATTTTTTGACTTTGTATTTGTTGAGTTTAAAAACATTTAAAACAACTCAAATTTATTTTCATAGAGTCTATGTAAATTTTATTTTCCTTATAAAATTTAAACGATCTGAGGAAGAACATCAAACCTTGCTGAAGCTGCTACATTGCAGGCTATTGCTTCTCAAATTATGCAAAATGCAAATGAAAGGCAATTATGCACTGCATTACATACACGTCCATGGAATAATTTTCTTCAGTTTATGGAATAATAAATGAACATTAATTCCAGCAGTTAAATAATCAGAAAGTAGGACAATTGGTTAAGGGTTTTATTGCATAACAATAACTGGGTCTCACCACAGGGTAGCTTCCAAGATCAATATCTCTTATACACCATCAATCAATAAGTTTATTGCTGTGTTGGGTCATACATTAATGCAGCATAAAAAAGGAATGGAATCAGTAATGAGAAAACAATAACAAAAAGGGCAAGTAAATTAAGATGGAACCAATGCCGTAATTGAGAGCCTAAAATTCCTCAGTTTAAAAAAAAGCACGGCAAGAGTAGTAACCTGATAGCTAACAATGGAATCAGTAATGAGAAAACAATAACAAAAAGGGCAAGTAAATTAAGATGGAACCAATGCCGTAATTGAGAGCCTAAAATTCCTCAGTTTAAAAAAAAGCACGGCAAGAGTAGTAACCTGATAGCTAACAGTTGGAATTATTTCTGCAAGAAAATAATTCAGTCATTTGGCAATCCAACCTCTTCAGTTTATCATCAATATTTTCCCTAATGTCACTGCAGATAGGACAGTACAGGATATAATGAATAATGTTCTCCATTTCGCCAGCATCACAAAGACAGAGGCGCTGTTCCATTGGAAGTTTACAAAATCTCCCTTCAAGGTATGTAAAAGGCATGGTCTGAAAGTTGAGAGCTGTAAAAGCCTTCCTCAATGAAGCTTTAGTGATGCTGGCCAGATATTGGGAGAGGCGGCTGTGTTTCTTACAGTGGTGCTACCAACACGACGATTTGGAAGACTGTACGGCATGCAATAGCATCTACACAGGTATCCTGCTTGAAAGCTTACCTCTGAGGTTTTCACTGCTCCAAGAACTAAGTTCCCCTAAAGGAGTCTCTTGAGTATTAGGGTTTTCCCACCTCCCTGCCATACCCGTATTCTCCCACTTGCACTCCAGAGGGTCTCCTAATTCTCCAAAGTAATTTTGGGATATGAGAAGAAACTGTGTGAACGATGAAAATCCATTCCACCAGTACCCAATCACTAGTTTAAACTAACTGACTCTCAGTTTAAATTCAGTTCATAAATAAAACTTTATTTAGAAATTATGCTCACTCCCCCAATTCAAGTTTGCCTTTGTTCTTGCCCAGCTGGGGAGACTGAGTCAGTTACACATTTGACTTGGCTGCTCATTTTATCTGACACCGCACATTGATTGGACAAAGCCTTTGTTATCTAACTGTCCTAATAGGTCAGATGATGAGAATGTATCCTCGGCAATCCATTCATTGCCTTTAATTCTAACATGTCTGGGAAGATGAAATTAAAACATTAAAGTTTACTTCACAAGTGCTGGAAAGACTTCAGGACACACTGTACGCAGTTAGTAAGCTGGCTATGAAAGGGAAATAGAACTTCGTTTTCCACAAAGAGGTAATATATACTGAAATTTGACATACTAGCATTTGCTTTTCAAATGTATTTTATTTGGGAATAAGAGAATAAATATCCTATTTGAAAGGCCTCTGTCCCTCTCCCTGTTACAAAGTAAAAAACTGTTCTCATTTGGTGAAATATCTGTGTACAGTATCTAATTTGGGGAGGATCAAAAATAAAATAAAATACATTTTACTTTTCAATCAGCTTCCAGTATCCTTACTTTCTAAACACTGGATTTGTTTGTTTATGACTGGATCTTAAGTATTATTAACTTTTAAGCATATAATGTCACATAGTAAATCATATTAATAAACTTTCTCTTAAAGCTATATTAATGTGTTTACAGCTATTAATGATGATGCTTTGCATTTTTAATTATTTACTTTCAATATGTACAGTATTTCCTTCAAAGAGCTTAGAATTATATACAGAGTCTTCATCAGAACTATTTCCCTATTCATAATAATCCTGTTGTATTAGGCAAAGATTGTGTTTTATTTACAGCATCACTGGTGCATTTTAATGTAGTTAAATGTATTTTATCATATTTTGATTTAAAATGGCTAAAAAATAGAATAAATTATATAGTTAACAAAGTTAACTATCTAGAATAATTCATGGTATGAATTCCATCAACTATTATTTGGAAAGCAGCATAACATACATAATTAAATGGAATATTGCATCTACAGGAACATATCCTTTTATTTAAGAATAATCACCTCTGAAATAAATTTCCCTATTTTTTCTGCCACTCATTAACATGGTTTCAACTCGTTACAACAGACTGAAAAGCTCAGGGTGCACGAATACGCTGCCTATTAACCCTTATTTAGGACCATTAGATCAGGACTGCAAGATCCAGATAACCACAAGATGGCAGCAAAGTGATACAGAAAAAATTCTTACTGCTAACCACCGGTAGTCCGCATCTTTGCAGCCAAGATCCGGCAGCCCTTGTAACTGCAATTTTGGAGATCTGTGAGTTTAAACAAGACACATCAAGCCCTCAAAATCTTTAGTAATTTCTCCCTAAATTACGATTATGGTTAAATAGCGTCCAGAACGATGCTGTTGACAGCTCACGTGCTCTTTCTTGGGTGCCAAGCAATTAGCCTCCCCGCGACCGCAAGCAATGGCAGCGCATGCGCAGTCGAGCTCGCCTAACGAAGAGAAACCGACAGCTTCGTTGTTATAGGAATAAGCCCTTCCATTCCCTTGCCAACGCCGCCCCCACATATTACATTCGCCAGGACTCCATATACCTTGGGACGACAGCCCCAGAACCCCACACCAATAAGCCACTCTCCGTGCAGATTAGTAATATGGGAGTTGTAGTCCAACTTAACTGGAAGATCCCAATATGGGCGGACTGCTATACAGATCTCTCACGTGCATACACACATATCTATCATACATACATGCGCGGTTCAGGTTGCTAACAAATCGCCTTCCAGACACTTTGGTCCGACGCATTACTCCTCTAAATTAAAGTTGCAGTAACCAGGCATTTTCCTCTACTGCGACGCACCTCAAGCACGAAGTTCTAACTCCGCCCACTTCCGTTGCAACGACCATTAGGTTCCTCTCCGAGGAGATTCCCCTGTAACCGTTGCTTGGCCCGCCGATACAGGCAGCCATCTTTATTGCTGGAAAAGAAGCCTCCACGGTCCTAAAAAGGTGAATGAAATCGCCCGCTGAGCAGCCTAGCGTTTTAACTTTTACAGGTCAGTCGACCGAAATCCGCCCGTGAGCTAAGGAGAAAATGGTAGCTAAGTAGCTTTGGACCGTTTCTCCTCTGCCCTCACTCAATATGTCTGCGTTTTACGGGCGAAGGCAGCGATCTTTCGAAGAGCTGAGACAAAATGGCCGCCGAGAGCAGGAGGAGGCGCTCTAGCGCCGCGTCTCTGTTCCTCTGAGTGTGCTGGCGGAGTTGAGTCTCGCCGAGTTGGGAGCTGAGCGCTAGCGGGCCCGAAAGAGTCGCTGGGAGGGAGGGGTCGGCAGCCGCGAGGCGACGTGTTAACGCGGCCGCCTCAGTGACTTTTGCTCCGGAGCCGCCTCTGCCTCTCGGGAGGCTTCTGTTCGCCCTCCCTGTCCTCCGCCGGGCGCCTCGTCCCATTGCTCTCTCCTCGCCCGTCCCGCGTGTGTGTCGCCCCGCGCCTTCTCTCCTCGCCCGCCCGCGGCTTCCCTCCAAAACCTGTCGTGGCTTTGGTCCGCCTTTTAAACCCCTGGGAGACGGCTTCTGGCTCCCTCTGTTTGGGGTGGGAAAGGGTTCTCCTTTCCTTTTGCCTCAGCCAGAATCGTGTCTCTGGGTCTTCTGAATCAGCCGCATAGGCTCACTCCTCAGTTCCCCCTCCAATCCCAGGAAGACGGCCGCCTTTCGCTTCCCTATCTCTCCTCGATTGGGGGTGTTCCTCCCTTCCCTCTTTCTCTGCCTTTCAGGCTCTCTCCCGGGAAGATCCTGTCCTGCCCTCCCTGCGTACCTGTAACTAACTTTCTGTGGGGCTGCCAGAGCCTCCCGCTCCCCTCTCCGGAACTATCCCTTTTGTCTGGGAAAATTGGCTCTCCTCCTGTGTCTGTCTTCCCTGTTTGGTATGTAACCAAATTGCATTGCTTCATTGCTTCAACTCCACTGCAATCTTACTGGGGAACAGTCCTCTCAAATTTATTTTTTGTTTGCAGTAACTGTAAAATTTCCTTTCCTCTCTCACTTTTGATTTTTGCTTTTGCTTTTGATACTGCACATTGTTGATACTCGGTATATATCCGGCTGCTTGTTTTGAAGACTTTCTGACTCCTTGAGGCAAACGTCCAGCCTTGATTCCATAGTGTTATCATCTTGCTGAAGGGCTTTCTCTCGCCTAATTTTTAGTTCTGCTGCTTCTTTGAATGTAACTTTTTCTGGTTACCATAATAATTAGATTGCGGGCAGTCTTTCCTAATCAGATTTTTTATCACCATCACTAACTCAGTGCAGTGTGGGTGATACTAGTACTTCGAAAACTAAAGAGGAGGATGCCAAGGAAACTGCTGTTACCTTATAAATCTGTGTTTTCTCACTCTCGAGTTCGAAGGGGGTTGCATGATTCTTTGGCAATGAATGCAGCCAGAAGTGGCTACCGGGTCTTCTCAGCAAATTCCACAGCAGCCTGCACAGAACTGGCTAAGAGGATCACTGAGTGAGTGTATTATAACTTTTTGCATTGCGTTCCCTCATGTTTCTGTCTTAATGCCTTTTAGACCCTGGCAATTACTGTAAGAAAATGTAAACTGACATGAATGGCCTTGGAGAAGATAGGTTTATCACAGTTTTTCACTATAATTCAAGAATGTGTATTACTCAACATTTAAAAATCTTATTTTTATTTAAAGAACAATTGTTAAATTACAGCTGGTATTTTAAATATTTTAGATTGGACTATAATAGACAATAAGCATTCATATTGTGATATTATAAATGATCTGTGTGCATTTCTTAGTTCCATTCATACAGCTGAGAAACAAAACCCTTTACTTCTTTATGTTAATAATCAATGTGGTGTTTTATATTCTAGCTGGGCAATTTGAATATATTGTTTAACTGCTTTTTTCCTTTGTATAATTTACTACGTTTAGATCATTGTTTCCCCCCTGCACCCCCCACCCAATGGTTCAATGGATGATTGGACAGCCAACCAAAATGTGTACTTGTAAATTAATCCTGCTCTATTCTGCTTATGAAGAGGCATAATAGTATTGCTGATCTTAATATTGAGGTGCTATGGAGCTAGAAGAGATGGCATTGCTTTTTAGTGTATCTCTGAGGCTTTACAAGATTAGAAGCACAAAACGTTTGCACCGCTCCTCATGAAACTTTGCAGAGTCAAAGCTGAATCCCAATTATCTTTCACTAGGGATTCACTGATAAGACTCTATAGGCCTCAGTTTTTGCTAATTCAACATTAGTCGACAACATGATAGTTAATTTGAAAGCTATTAATCGAATACTCTTGCTGACTTTTCATTGACATCTCATAGATGAGAATGTGGGGGGGGGGGTTGGTACTGTCAGTTTCA